CTCCTATGATTTCCCGTAAAGCAGTCCTTTTAGCTCAAGCCGTCGTGGGAGGAAGTAATGTGGAGGCTGCCCACCCTTCCCACTCCCCGCGGCCGGGCCGGGGAGAGCGCGGGTGGCGCGGGGGCTGCGCCGCGTGCCGAGGGCGCATAAGATGGAGAGGCCGCGTATGAACCATCTGTGGGGCGGGGAACGCAGGGGCGCGGTGGACCGACCGGCATGTGGTTTCCAAAGGGTCGGTCGCTTTCCGCGAGGGCTCCCCACACAGTTAAGCATCCAATCTCCTTGAATGCTTCTGCGTGTGAGTCCACTAGAATATTTCTCATGACGTATAATTGTCCAGAAAAACAATCTAAAGTGAGGTCTAATTAAATTGTCAGAGGATCTAAGTGACATAGTCATCATGGTACATTTTTATTCTCATGAACTGATTTCTTAAACAACAAGCAAAATAATAAAATGCTGATATCCTGAATCTGACAAACGCATGGATTCCGACCCGAAGATGAGAAAGGATTATTGCACTAACTCTAAGAACACTATGTCTACATATTAATTCCAAATTCAAATGTTAATTTTAGTTTCTATTTTTAGTCTAACAAAAATTGCCTCTTCAATTTAATTTTTCTCTTTTCCCCTTTCTGCTCTGCTGTGCTTCATATTGGCCTATTTTGTGAATGGTGGCACACTTAGAGATCCTGGAACTGGGTTACCCTTCTTTACTCATGAAAATTTTTATGGGTCTAAAATGATCTGCTTGTTCACTTTCAAACAAGCACATTTTATCCATATATGCAAATGTTTTCTCTCATTTCTAACACTTTATTCCTTTCTCCTATGTCATTTTGCCTTCCTTTGACAGTATCTGTGAAAGGTAGAAGAATTTTTTTAATATAAAATATTTTATAATATTTAATAATTAATTAAATTTAATAGTATTAAATATTTATAATTCTTTTAATATAAAACATTTAAAATAATTTAATAAAACATTATTAAGAAGTAATACATAGCCATTGAAAAAACATAAACCCCAAAATCTAAGAATGTGCATCAGGTAAAATGACAAAGTTCCTGCCCCTCTTCTCCATGGCCCCATCAACCGCATACCCTCCAGGTGACCCTGATGACAGACCCAGGGCCTCTGACTATACTTTTTGAAGACACAAATACTCTATATCTCAAAAATGAGGTATACAGTCAAAGCCTTTCCACCAAATAGAGAAGTAAAATTTTCTTAATTTTTTATAGCTCTTTATTAGAATGAAGAAGCAGCAATAAAACATACTCTGCATTTAAAGCTCCTGAAAGGAAATGCAGTGTCAAAGTTTGAGAAAGCATTATGTCCCCTGAGGGGCATGGGGTGGTCCTACAAGGGGCTGAGGCTCACCTGTCAGAGCAGGAAGTCAGTGGTTAATGTCTAAGATGCACAATCAAAGGACATCAGTGCAGGCATTTTTATGTGTTAAAAGGAACAACTGAGTTAAGTTGTGAGTTAAGTGAGGTTCCTTTTGAGGGACAGGGATGGGATGGAAAGGAAATGCAGGAAATTGTTGCTTTTTATTCTGAGCCCTACTGTGCTGCTTAATGTTCAAACCATATCCAGACTTTATTTCAGAAAGAAAAAATTTTAAATTAAAACAAAAACTGCAAGTGTACATTATATAGAAAAATCAATTTTCAAAGCCTGGCACAAAATAAGAACTCAGTAAACATTAGCTCTGATTATTATTTTAGGTGTTGCAATTATTTTAGAAGGTGCAATTATACATCATCTGTAAATATTTGCAAAGGGACAAAATGCAGAAAGTAGGCTTTAAAAACGCTCTGTTCTAAAAGATGACACAGTGTTCATGTTTTTGATTTGTATCTCACTGAATGAAATTTAGGCACAGAGTTATAAATGAGAAATCAAACATTATAAGCTCCTGAGGAATCCCAATATCCAGACAGTACTTTTCCATCATTATTCCCCTGAATATGTGTTATGAGAGGTTCGGGGATTCGATCGGAGACGTAAAAGAAACTTTCCACTCCAAACAAATGGACTGAAGGTATATTTTATTATATAGAGGATAGTAAAGGCGATAGTCCGCAAACAGATCCGAATAGGTCAAATAATAAGAGGGAAAAAACACCAGCTCGACTGGAAAGGGAAAACATCCACATGGGCTGAGATAGCAGCAGATTCGAATAGATCATATAATAAGAGGGAAAAACATCAGATCAATAGGAAAGGGAAACACCAGATCGACTGAAGGGAAATGACACAAATCAACTGGAAAGAGAGACACCAGGTTGACCAAAAAGAGAACACATTAGATCAATTACTTTACGATAAATCAATTACTCCACAATAAATCAATTACTCACAACATCCACGCCCCACTGCCCGGAGAGTCCTGTCAATCGACACGGCTGGGCGGGAATCACACGTCCTGGGCAAGGCGTCCCCTCCACAGGTGGAACTCTCACCAGGTCTCAGTCTCCAGCAGTTTTTTATAGCATCAATAATTTCCAGAGTAAGCAGTTACAGAGCTTTTTTCAGAGCAAGCATCTAGTGTTGCCATGCACAAACGGTTATCCGTGGCGTACGTGCACTGAGCCCCCCTCCGGCTGTCGTCCCAGCCCAGTAGTTGTGTACGTGCATTGTTTACCTTGCTTATCGTCTCAGCCTGGCACAGATGGCCAGTCTGCCCCAGGCTGCGGCGCCCAAAGGGCCTTGAAATTTTTACACATTTCAACTATCTCCATGGGAGAAGGGTCAGTTTCCACCATGCAGAAAGCAGCTGTCTTGACATGAGTACAGCCATGTTTGGCCGCTCCATTGACCTACAGCCACCAGCACAAAAAGAAATATGAAAGCTGCTTTCTGCGTGGTGGGAACTGGCCTTTTCCCGGGAACCGGCCTTTCTCCCACGGAGAGAGTTGCAAGTTGTAACATTTCAAGGCTCTTGGAGCGTCGTAGCCCGGAATGGACTGGCCATCTGTGCCGGGCTGAGATGATAACCAAAGAGAACAATACACGTACACAACTACCGGGTTGGGGCGTTAGCCAGGGGGCTCAGTGCACGTACACCACTGATAACCATTTTGTGCATGGAAACACTAAATGCTTGCTCTGCAAACTCTGTAATTGCTTACTCTGAAAATTACTGATGGTATAAAAACTGCTGGAAACTGAGCCCTAGAGAGAGAGTTCCACCTGTGGAAGGGACACCTTGCCCAGGACGTGTGATCCTTGCCCAGCCGCGTCGATTGACAGGACTCTCCCGGCAGTGGGGCGTGGATGTTGTGAGTAACTGATTTGATGTGAAGTAATTGATTTGATGTGTAGTAATTGATTTGATGTGTTCTCTTTTTGGTCAACCTGGTGTTTCTCTTTCCGGTTGGTTTGTGTCATTTCTGTTCAGCCGATGTGGGTGTTTTCCCTTTCCAGTCGGGCTGATGTTTTTTCCCTCTTAATATTTGACCTATTTGGATCAGTTTGCAGACTGTCGCCTTTACTATCCTCTATATGATAAAATATACCTTCAGTCCATTTGTTTGGAGTGGAAAGTGTCTTTTACGTCTCCGATCGAATCCCCGAACCTGACATAACAGCAGCTTTTATATTGCTTTTTGTGCTGGTGGCTGTGGGTCAATGGAGCAGCCAAACATGGCTGTACTCATGTCAAGACAATATGGTACAGTCATTCCTGAGGCCCCATTCTGTTTCTTTGAATTTAAGCCAAAATATAGCTTTGCTGTTGATCTTATTCAGGGGTTGGCAAAGTACTGCCTGTTTTTTGTAAATAAAGTTTTTTATTGGAACCTGGTCCATTCATTTATATATTGTCTATGGCTGCATTCTCTACAATGGCAGAGCAGTTGGCTTGAAAAGCAAAAATATTTAGTATTTGGCACTTTACAAAAAGGGTTCTCTGACCCCTAATCTAATCTGCCTAAGACAAAGACACTGAAGTGCAGAAACTATTGAAATGTGAGGCGCTCTGTGTCTTCTTGACTGTCCTCCTAGTCTAGAATGATAATTCAAGTAAGCTAATTTGTTTTCTCCTTTGCTGCTGATTTAATGAGGAGATGACTCACAAAGCACCAAATTGCTAAACATCATCTTGTTCTCTTAGCCCAGAGGTCCTTGGAGCTCATTCTCCAAAGCATTTTGAAAAGGCAAGGATTCTCCACGAGCCCTCCCCAACCCCTGCTATCAGGGAACATTTGTTGAATTGAATCAGATCCTCACAGTTAGAAATAATTCCTGTCCTCTTAAAGTCACATCCATCTTGTGAACGTGCTATTCTCTATCCTGCATTCAAGTTCCTCGCGTGTGCCGTAGCTCTCGTGTGGGTGTACAAGTGCCCCGACGGTATAACCTTTTTCTTATTTGTCTTTGTATCTTCCAATAAATTCAACCCCACCTCCTTAAGCAGTGCCTGTGGAATGAATAAAGGTTTAATTTGGGAAGTTAATGTTTCATTTCCTTAATGATTAAAAATAGTCTATTCTTTGGAAGCATCTATTGTTAAATTAATTAAACAGCTGGTCATTAGACTGAAGTGGTTCTAATAAGTCTGTAAACGCCTCAAGGTTAAGAAATCAAAACCTAAGGACAAACCCCTCACAAACAGCCCACTAGGATCTTCCACATAAGGGAAACCCTAAACTACAGCCGATCAAATAACTTCCTTGTTTTGCTTCTGGCTTTTCTCTATAAAAGTCCTTCCCCTGGCTCTTGTAGGTGGAGCACTCTTAGCCACTCCCAATGTGGCACTGCCCGATTCGAATTGATTTTTGCTCCAATAAACTCTTAAAATTTTTAAGAGGCCTCTGTTTATCTTTTAACACTATCCACAGGCATACTCATTAGCCTGACTTCATTTCATGTTTTAAGTAAGTCTTGGATCAGTTTTTCCATGGCCCTGATTTGCCTAGTGTTCATAAAATGACTCTTAGGCAAAGTAAATTGCACAAAAATAGTGTGCCTGGAGACAAAAGCGTGCACTTCACTGCCCAGAGACCGCACAGATGAATGCCTCCCTTTGCTGCAGGCTCTCGGTGATGTTACAGATAGTAGCATCACACTCCAGCAGCGCACCAGAAGGACTTCTTGAGAGGTGGCCTGAAAAAGAAAATTGACAGCCATTTGTTGCAAGCTAACAAAGCAACCTTAATATTGAGACGGAATCACAATTTCCAGATTAGATATGCTGCACTGAAGAGTCCCACAGGAAACATTTGCAGAAGCATTTCTATTTAAAATGAAATTTTGGCTCTCTTCTGTGTGTAGTTTTCAAGTAACAAAGAAGTTTATGAAAATAGCTGGGAATAAATGATTTAAAAATTGCATAATGATCTTAGGTACCATTTCTGCATGCTATTTAAACCCCAGTTCAGAAGGGAAGAATTAGAACACACTGGGAGGAAATGTGTGAGGCATTTAAAACTAACTCAAATTCTATGCAAGATTATTTGAGCAATTATATATCATGAATCACTCAGAAGTGCCGACGAGCGATTAATGTGGATTGTTTCAGAATCCTTAAGGTGGAATTAATCTGTTCTCTTTCTAGATGTAAGGTACCTTTATTACAGTTGACAGTTGGGAATATTTTTGAAAATACAAAAACTTTTAATGATTAAAAATGGGAAATTCTGACATTAGACAAAAGTAACTTTGGTGATTGTTGTGTTTTAACTAGTTATTCCTTGCTGTGTAGATGCCAGCACATTTCCCAGTAGTGCAATACCCTGGGTGGGTATTGAGATAACCACAAAAGGACCCTGCATCTCCAAACCAGAATTTGCATTTGTTGTTAACCCCATTGTCCCGAGGATCAGATATTCCCCACAGATCCTTGACCAGCTGCATTAATGTAGAACATTTCAGATAAAACATGGTCTCTCACCACACAATTTGGTTGGAGAACAAAATAAAAGTAGATACTTTTCCTTATTAAACAAGAAGACTTGCCGTTAACCTTGGCAGGGTTAATGCATCCATGTTAAATGTAACAGTGTGGACCGCTACTTTCTCCAGCCCTTTTGCATCCAGCTGTATTCGTTTCCTGGGGCTACTGTGACAAGTACCACAAACTGGGCAGCTTAAACAACAGAAATTAATGTCTCACAGTTCTGCAGGCTGAAAGATCCAGGGGTTAGGACTGCAACATATAATTTTTTGTGGGGGACACAATTCAACCCATAATACCATCCGTTCAATGTCTTTTCTGGACTGAATGTGCAAGAGGGAAGACACTTTGGAAGTGCATTTTTTACTTTGTCAATAGCATGCAATGTGAGAGGACTCTACTCTCCCAGTACACCTGGGACTGGTCTAGATTCACGAATAACATGCGAAAGAAAGGAAGAAAGAATGCTGGAGGAAGGGGAGAAATCGAAGATGTGTGTTCCAGATGTAGTCCAAGAGAAAGAAGATAAAGCATCTATGATTCCAGCCTGTAAGAGCACGTGAGAGTGGTGTCCAAAGAAAAACACACATGCTTGTTAATCATAGTTGGATGGATTTAGGATGAAACAGCCATGTTTTCAAGAGAAGAGTCCTGACCAGGTGTTGAGTGACCACGTTCGTGTATTCATTCGTTCACCCGATAAACATTTGTGGGCCCTGTTTCTGACCCTAAGGATAGAGGTAAAAATAAATAATATATGGTTGCTGATGCTAAGGAGCAGTATGTGTGTGTGTGTTTTTGTTGGGAAAACTTTTAGCAAATAATTACAGTCTAATGTAGACAAGGACACAATTAAGCCATATGATGCTTTTGTACAAATTAGAAAAAGGCAACCTGCACTTGGTGGAAAAATTATAAGAAGGCATGCACTCTGGGGCACAATAGAGCCAGCAGAACAGGTCACTTTTCAGTCCTCATAAGCCAGGCACCCTTGTTCAGTGTGCAACCTGTACAGCCTTACATGGCAGCCCCCAATTTGGAAAGAGCTCTCATGGAGGTAGATTTCAGGTTCAATGGACCAGGAGGAATATGTGATTATGGCTAATAGGAGCTGACATTTGAGCTGGCTTAGAAGGGTGAATATGAGCTCACTCAGCAGAGCCTGGGATGCTTAGGGAATAGCAGGCAGTTTGCTGAGCCAGGGAGAGGCACCTTTCACAACCTGGACCAGCCTACTGTTTTCCATCCTTCATACTCTCTCACCTTTTATGCCACCATTGCCTCTTTCCCTTGGCTCCCTGGAACCCATGTTCTAGGTATACTGATTCTTTCTATTCCAAAACACGCCATACATTTGCCCACGTGTTCCCCCTTAAGTGGCATTTCCTTGCTCCCTTATCTGCCTGGCAAGCTCTACTCAGCCCTGGAGGCCCAGCCTCAGTCCCAACATCTCCAGTTGACCCAACCTCCCAAAGGAGGGCCATCTGCAGGACTGTGCTGAGGGAGGCTCCAGGATCTCCAGACCAGAGGAGCTGAGGGGCTTCGATCAGTGTGGGAGGGAGGGGTTTGAAGCTCCATTTGCCTGGCTCTCTAGAAGAGACTGAGAATGCATCCCCTACCCATTTCAGAGCATATGGACGCTGCTGTGTGCACACCTCTGTTGTCGTGTTTACCGCACTCCCCTGGAGCTCCGAGTTTATATCAGGGTCCCTGCTAGGCTGTGAGCTCTACATTCATCTGTGGATCTTTAGGTTGCTCAGTGCACACTCCGGGAATCAAATTCAGGTACAAATAGTGAGAGATGATGGAGATCTGAACTAATGCAAACGGCTATGAGAATGGAAAGGAGGTGCTGCTTAGAGAGCTATTAAAGAGACGGGTCGAGGATCCCATGACCAAGAGGGTATGGGAGGCAGGGGGCACCCAAGAGCCCACAGAGATACCAGGCTTTCAGCTGTTGTGGGGTGAGTACATGATGAATGGTATAAAGGACACTGTTGGTTGTCTACAAACATCCAATTCCTCTTTCCCAACAGATACTCCCCTTCTCAGCCTGTGGGAAATTCACTCCATCCTGTAGCTTAAGAGATGGGCCTTACTGATCTAAGGGTATTTGATTAGTTCAAGAATAGGCGTGTGATTTAATTCAAGACAGTGAGATTCAAGGAGATGCTTGCAGGAGGCTGCTGGAATGTTCATCCTCCTTTCTCTGAGACCTCCTGAGAGTTCTCTTCATCGGGGTATTGCTCTATATGAATGTAAGGCCCTGGACTGTGCTGCTGGCCTGGGGATGAAGTCACCCCCAGAGGAAGGCAGAGCCCAGGAAGGGGCAGGAAAAGGAGCTGTAGCCCCTGGATCATGCCAGCCCTGAAGATGGTTCTTCTTTGAGACCACCAGCCACATAAGCTGATGAATTTCTTTATTTATTAAGCCAGTTTTCATTGCCTTTTTTTATTATTACTTGCAGCCCAAAACAGCCCAAACTGATATACTCAGCAAGGTCCTTAATAAAACTTAGGAGTACAAAGGGCAGAGTAGTTTTGTAGAGTACTGTAATAAATTTAATTTGGGGTACGTTGATTTAGAGATGTCTGCAGGACATCTGGGTGGGTGGGCTAGGAGGCTGTTGGATTTGTGGGTCAACAGGGCTGGAGATAGATTTGAAAGGCATTGGCTTGTATGGGGGAGCTGAAGCCATAGGAGTGGGTAAGATTTAGGAAGAACACCTATTATGAGAAAGGAGGGAGCTCTGGGGAAAAAGGAGCCAGTGAAAGAAGCCAAGAAGGAGCGCTTGGAGGCACAAGGGAAGTCAGGGTGTAAGGGCTGCAGAAGAAGGGAGGAGAGTTTCTCCTAGGAAGCCAGGCTGCTGCTGCTGGGAAGCCAGGTAAGACAGGCCCTTGGGAATTAGGAGCTCTCTGGTGACACTGGCCAGGGCACTGCATGCGAAGGTGTGGGGACAGAGCCTGCCAGTCCTGGACAGGCCAGGGACTGGAGAGTGCAGGAGTGAGGCCTGAAATGTAGCTGCTGGTCCCTCTCTGAAGGGCCATGGTGGCAGGGGCCAGGACTAGAGAAAGAGGCTGGTAGCCAGCAGGGAGGCCAAGTTAAGGTTTTTACAGTGGGAAAGATTTGAGCACATATATAGGTGGAAAGAAAGAAGCCAGTGTCGAGTGAAGACCTGGAAGAGTGTGCAAGAGGGTAAGTGGTGAAGAAAGTTCCCAGAGGTGGTGGGAGGGGACTCATTCATTCATTTCATGAATATTTATTGAGGGCCACTTTCTGCCAGTTGCTGTGCTAAATGCTGAAGATGCAGGGATAAAAGGGGAATAAATGAGGCACAGTCTCTCCTCTCAAGCAGCCGATAGTTATGGTCAGAGGGACCCACAATAGATGGGTGATAACAATGGCGGCGTGAAAAGTGTTACGATCTAGGAAGGTAAAGGAGGCTATGGGAGCACAAGAAAAGAGCTCAGAATCCAAGCTAGGAGTGGGGAAGAAGTGGGAATCATGGAGGCCTTCCTGGAGGAGGAGACCTCCTGAGTTAAATGTTGAAGGATGAATACAGCTGGTCGGGGGAGGGAAGAGGAAAGGCTGTTCCAGGAAGATGAAAAGCGGGTGCAAAGCTGTTTGGTAGGGTCTGGAGAGTAGCAGGCAAGGTGATGAGAGGGGTTAGCCTGGGAGGGGCACCTCTCTTGGAAAGTATTTGAACATCTCCGGATGAGGACTGTGCAGAATTTGTCATGTGAAGGCAGTACTGTTTCTCAATAAGACAGCATATAATGGTATGTTATTCTTGAGTGGCTTATTACCAAAGGAGATTTCTCTTTCAAAGACAGCACCCACCATGGCCCAGAGTTCTGTTGGGGTGATGTAGTGCAGAAGACATTGTAAACACAATATAGAGAAGTGTGTAAGTCTGAAAGTCCAAGTTAGATCTGTTCTTTCCAAGAATATCTCAGGTCAATTCTTTCAGGCAAACACGTAACGTGGAGACGATGGTTGTTGATCTCCATCAGAGGATAAAGTCCTGCCTGCACCCTGTCCCTCATCTTCCCCCATCCTCACAGAAGAGATGGAATGAGGAGCAGAGTAAAAACACACTGTATGAGTGTTAGAGCAGAAGGCGACTCTTCTTTTGTCTACTCTTAGCAAAACTCCCTGGACTTACACAGTATGTCTCCACCGCAAAGCTGGGCCGAAGGTTTTCGGGCTTGGAAAGCATGCCTGTGATCTGGAACGTGGCTTCCGTCAGTTTGGCTGAGGAGGCTTCCTGCATAGCTGACTTGCTTTCATCTTCTTCTTCCTCTTCTGTAATTTCTTCAAGTGAAGCCCCGACTACACAGTTAGATGGAAACTGCAAGAAAACAGAAATTTCCCCATACTAAGAACAACTTAGAGGGAGGGCAGTCAGTGAATGATGACTCTAAAAACTAACCTTTATTTAAGGCTTGCTGGAGGTGCCCACATGCAGAGCAAATGCCTCATACGCTGGTATCTCGTTGAAATTGATTTAATTCCCACAACAACACAGTGAAGTGGGTACTATTATGATTCACCCTTTGATAGATGAGGAACTCAGGCTCAGAGAGCTTAAAGAACTTGTTAAGGGTATGATCCTGCTCTGGCAACAGGTAGGGCTGGGTTATATCACTATGTTCGTCTTGTCTAATAGAAATATAGAAATGTAATGTGAGCCACTCAGGTAATTTAAATTTGCTAGGAGCCTCATTTTTATGATCTCCCATGCATACATATTAAATTGGTTTTTCTCCTAGTGATTGGTCTTGATTTTTTTTATTAGTCCAGCCAAAAGAACTAAAGAGGGGTAAGGGGAAAATGTCTCCCTCCCTGACTTCATATTCCCACTCTCATGTTGCCTAGTACATGTAACAGCAATTACTCGGAATCTGAGAAAGAGAGGTCCTGGTTAGTTAAAGAATAACTGGAAGATTCATTATTTAAAAGCTTTTAAAAAAGATCTCTTTATTATAAAAAGGTTTTATTATAAAAAGTTTTATTATAAAAATAGTATGTTGTAAAAAATAATCAGAGATCAAAAGAGGATAAAGTAGAAAGTTAAATCCTCTTCCCTCCCTCCCTCCCAATCTCAATCATGTCACTTCTCTTTTTAAATACTCCAACAGCTTTCACTGGATGTAGAATATAAACCAAACTCCTACCCCTCACAATCTGGGCCTTTGTGCTTTATTCCACTTCGTTAATTTATGCAACAAATATCCATAGAGCGCTGACCACATGCCTCAGTTTAGCTGCTGAGCAGGGCCACATTCTGACTTTCATGGCCCTTTCATCCATAAAAGATACTAAAAATTATATTTTACAACTGTATTGCTGTAAAGACACAATCTTTGACTCTAAAATTTCATTTGCTTCTTTCTGACTTTAAAAGAAATTAAAACATTTTTGTGGGCCCCAGAGTCTCGTGGGCCCTGGGCACTGTGCCTGCTGCACCAATGAAGTCGGCCTTGGAGCCCCTGGTTCACTGCACCCTTGCCACTCTGTCCTCTGAAAATGCCAACTTGATTCCCACCTCAGAACCTTGGCCTTTGCCAGGCCCCCTGAGAACTAGTTCCTCCAGCTTGATCCTTATCCTATATATGTCAGATTAAATGTCACCTTTCAAGAGAGCCCTTTCACACAACTCTATTTAAAGCAGTTGCTCTCACCCACTAATCAACATCTATGTTCTCTTTCCTTCAGAGTACTTATCACATATTGAAATATCTCGTTTATTCTAAAAATTATTTCTTGTCTGTCTCCTTCCAGAGAGGCAGGGTCCTTGAGGGCAGCAACCTGTTTTGGTCTGATTTGTAGTTCTCTGTGCCTGCCATCTAGTAGGTGTTCATGAATGAATGAATCCCATCCTCCAGAGGTGATAATCAAGTTTCTCATGTATCCTTTGAGACATTTTCTGTGTGATTGATTGATCTATCTTCTCTATATCTGTATCTATCTTTTTGAAAAGCACAAATAAGTTCATATTACACCTGTCTTTTTAATGCTTTCGTTCTCTTTAAAAAAAATACGTTGTTATTGTTTTAGTTTTGTTTGTGTCCTTGTCCCTTCTTTCCCCCCTTTTCTGGTAATGTGGAAGATATGTCACGTGTCTTTAGTCCCCTCTACTAGATATAGATCATATGTAATGTCACATATATTGTTTATCACATATAATTACATGCTATATATAAAATATGCTATTTTTACATGTAAATTCTATATCTAAATCTATATATTTTTGACTGAGCAACTTTAAGTGGTGCACCGGGTTTAATAGTGTTTTCTCGCCCCCCCAAATTCCTGTCCACCTGGAACCTGTGAATGTGACTGTATTTGGAAATAGAGTCTTTGCAGATATAATCAAGTTAAAATGAGGTCATACTGAATTGGGGTGGGCTCTAATCCAATGACTAGTGTCCTTAGAAGAAGAGGGAAGTTTGGACACAGAGACACTTGGGGACAAGACCACGTGAAGATGGAGGCAGAGATTGGAGTTATGAGTCTACAAGCCAAGGGTGCTAAGCATTGCCAGCAACCACCAGAAGCTAGGAGAGAAGCATGGAACAGATTCTCCCCTGGAACCTCCAGTAGGAACCAACCCTGCCGACGCCTTGATTTTGGACTTCTGGCCTCCAGAACTGGGAGAGAATAAATTCCGTTGTTGGTGGTAATTTGTTACCACAGCCCTAGGAAACCAATACAGATGGTACGCACTGTAGCCTCAATCTATTGTAGGGAGGTTGTGTTGTCAGCACGTGTGATCATTACAGCCTCACAGAAATCTGCCCAGGGTGAAGTTAGACTTCTCTGTAGCTCCAGAGGGTAGAAATAGGATCAGGGATTCTTACTCGGGAAATGATAAAATTATGGCTTTCTTTTGACTACTGAGAATTTTAAGATGAAGGCCCCAGGGTCCTCTTTTTTGAATATCTTCATTTTCCAGGGATAAAGATGGAGAAGGGTGAGGAAGCTTAATGGGAGTTAGGGCCCAAAACAGTGCCTGGCACATAAAGACGCCAAAACCGTTATGTTGAAGAGATGGATGAATGAAAAATGCTTGGTGAGTGAAATAACCATTGGACTTATTATCTGTCAGTTGCCTGCTTCAGATGCGGTGGCAGAGGGGAAACAGAACCCAGTTAGGAGGCCAGAGATCTGGGCCCATGTCCGGTTTCTGCCCTCGACTCGCTATGTGATCTTGAGCAAGTCCCTGTCTCCATTTGAGCCTGAGTTTCCCCTCATTAACAGAGGAGGACCCGAGGCCGAACTGGCGATCTCCAGACACCTGGGCTTCCAGGAGGGGCCCTTGTCTAGCCTGGGTGGGAGTGGGGTCCAGGGAGCATAGGCCGTGCCCAGGACGAGGGACCTCCCTTAGGGGAGGCCTGTCAGCGCCCAGCGGTGCAGGCTGCCGCTGGGTTTGGGGGGCCGGGCGCGGGGGACTGGGAGCTGGGGGTTGGGGTCCCGCTCTGACTCTCCGCCGCTCACCCTCCTGATGTTCCCGCTGCCCTATGTGTCCAGCAGGTTTATATATACCCTCTGGATCCGGATATCTTTCTCCGTCGGGGCAGCCACTTCGTCGTCTTCAGCTCCGGTGGGAGCCGCGCTGGTTACTAACGGGAAAGCGTCCGTCTGGTCGCCGGGGAGGTGGGGCGGGCCCGGGGACCGCCGGGCCGGGGCGGGGC